TAGGGCCTGCTGCGCTCGGGCGTAGCACCCCTTTATCCAGCTCTGAAGCTTCGATACGCGACACAGTATATCTGTGGGTCCGGGCATCCAAACAAGCTGTCCCCACCTGCCTTTTCTTCCTCCAAACAAAAACAAAGCCTTCCGGGGACAAATAAGGTTCTGAAAGCTTACAGGAAAGCTGGCACGTAACGCAGCCCAAGGCCCTAGGCTCAAGTTCTTCAAGTTGTAGAGGATGTGTGCAGTGCCAAGTTTGTTTCTTTGACTGTTTTGTATATCTCTACGACCGTTGAAACGCATTGTGACCGGTTCAGTAACTCCGGAACTACTTCCGGCGTCTAAAACTAACGGTTAGATTCTTAGATGAAACCCGAACGACCCGAACCGACTCTGACCAGACCAGACTCCAGACTTGACTTGACTTGGTTTGCCTTTTGTAAACTGACTAGATGACTAGACTAGCACAGACTCTAGACGAGACTACAGACTCTGACTAGACTCGACCAGATTGAGCAAGACTAAAAGCGACCAACTCAGTTTACCGTCATCTATACTCCACTATATTCCCTTAAGACCAAAGAGTCTCGGTAACTCTGCAAGCCCTGGCAGCGAGCGTCTGCAACGTCTACAATACAAGTACCGTTGAAGCAAATACGCAGCAGCAGGAATGCTCGCTGCTACGACAACGACACAAACTTGAAACCCTCCCAAACCGGACAAGCCTCTTCCTGCAAACACTGCATCCTCTGCGTCCTATCCAAGATGATGTCTGCGATCTCTTGCGGCCCATGCTCCATCTGCCGTCGGCAAATGGCCTGGCATAGGATTCTAATGGAAAGCGGGGCTTATAATTATAGGGCCCGGTCTCAGCCTAGGGCCGAGGCCCTAGGACCCAGGAGCTACCAACTAACTAGTAACTAGTAACTAGCTACGAAGGCTCGGCAATATAGAAAGTGACTTCAGAATTCTGGGACAGATGTGCCTGGGACTGTCACACTCTCAGCTCAGCACCTATGTCCTATGTGAACTTCTGTCCGATTCTGTCCAAACTCAAAGCACGCATGCCTGTACACACTTGAGCATGAAGGCAGCATCCATCTCCTCGAAAACATCTGCTCTCAGCAGGGCGAAGTAGTACCTGGCAAAAGCAAGTCTTCACTGCAATCGAGTTAGAGGCTGTACAAAGTTCTGCCTGCGAGCTTTGCTACTGGGTCTGCATCTGGAGCCTATGCCTAATGCCTGTCTTCGAAGCAATGCATGGACGAACTGGCAGCAAAACATGACTGATCACGCGCATCAGTGGTACAAGCAAGTTCTCCTGCGTCTTGCACGATGTCGTCCGACTGATGCCAGAGCCATTTGGCTGCAGAAACATGTGAAACTAAAAAATGACACGAGGCTCCGCGTCTGAGTCATCTCCTCTGTCCCTTTCCAAAGCGAAAAACTCGTCGGCACTGGCGACAGACTCTGCAAGCCACTGCCGCGCACGTCGCCTCTCCTCAAACGAAGGGATCTTCAAGTCACGATGTGCTTCACGAGACGCACAGTCGTTCCGATTCAAAAGCCAACTGGCAAGGAGGCCTAAAGGCCGTCCTTGCCCCGATCGCCCTGGTTTCGACGATCGCGTCCGACGGCAGTCTTTGCCGTGTAGACTGCAATGTGCTCGGAACTGACACAGAGTTCGATTGAACCTAATCTGCCCGTGGGGGCTCACGTCCAGAACCAACTCTGGCACTCCACTGAAAGTCTTGGTGTGGGGAACCGGCGGTCGTCGCGCTGCAGCACCAACGCCCGCAGACTCATCGGAATCATCCGAAGAGCTCTCCTCTGATTCTCTGCCCTCCAAAGTGAGCTCTGCATCCATGCCCTCGCTGCCCTCGGCTGCATCGAGTGCAGCCAATGTCTCTTCCGACAACGAGGATATACTCGCATCCTCTGTTCGCAGACTGTGGTCACTACGCACATCAGCATCTGCTGCCGCAGCCTCTGCTGCGTGGTCATTTCTTGCAGCGGACAACTCCTGCTGCAGCTCTGCCCAAGCAGCGACCAAATCTCGCTCTCCGCCCCCTCCCCGCCCACTGCTGTCACTGCTGCTGCTGCTGCTGCTCTGGCTTCCGCTCTTGCTGGAGCGGGATGATCCACGGCTTCTGCTGCGCCTGCTGCGGGAGGAAGCATCAGAGTCTCCACCAGCATCTTCTGGACCATTCCGTGCAGTTCGGGCAGACCGTTCACCAGCAGCAGGAGCAGCGCCAGGCGAAGTCCTGGAGCGGGTGCGGCCAGAAGAGCCGGCTGGGTCTCTTCTGGTCTGACGCCTTTTCTTGCCGGGCTTCTGCTGCTTCTTGCGGTGGTCGCGTTCTTGCCGATCTGTCGCCTCTTGGCTGGCTCCTTTCCAGACTCGCAGGCTTGGCAGCTGCAAAGGAATGATTTCCACTCGTCGGGGCAGCATGTCCAAGACACCCAAGGGCTCATCCGCGTCACTGAGGCGGTACCAAGAGACTAGAACCGGCAGTTGTAAGTTCAGATGTGCAAAGGCTTCAAGGGCGCGCATTGGCTTGTTGTCCGCCGGAACGACCATGCACAGCTGACCTTGGACATCTGGTCCGGACTCTACCTCCAGTTGCAAGAAGCCAAAATCCCAGGTGCGCAGGTTACTGTAACCCATATGAAGGTAGCAACTTTCAATGCGAGGCTTCGCGTGCGGCACAGAGTTCAGAGCCACTTGGAAGGCGCTCGGACTTTCAGACGTCTGAAGTGCCTCCCGGATCAATATCCTTCTTTGCAGAGCCGCCCAATCACCTCAAGGCAATCGGATGGATCTTGATGTTAGGTTTGGAAATCTATATTACAGCTAAACATTTGTGAAAAAAAGCTGCTAGCTGCTAGCTATACTATACTACTTTACTATACGATACTGTGCACCCAAAGGGAAGCCGACAAAGATTCAGATAGCCATGGTTCAAGAAAACTAACGATACATACCGGACCCTCAACGTCTAGAGTCTGAGTAGTCTACATTTGGATCACCCAGAGAAGTGTGCCTTCGTCCTGGTCCTGGGTTTCGACGTCCAGACAGTCGAAACGCAACACCAAATCCCCTTCGTTCAAGCATTTCCGGGCCGGAAGCGGTGCGGGCTTAGGTGGCTTTGGTTGACCACGTTTTCGAGCAGGTCTCTTGGTGATCAAAAACGGCCGCGTCAATGCCTTGAAGTTAGCATGGAGATGAAACGCATCGGAAAATGGACCCCCGTCGCAAACACAGCAACCCAACCCGCAACAGGGTTCGGGCTGGAAGCCTCTCTCATTGCTGGCCTCTGTAGGCAGTGGATCTGCGTTGCCCGCAAGGAACATTGCATGCATCTTATCCCAGTGTTGACGAAGACGCATAGCCACGGTACCCGTTGTGCCAGAACAAATCCAGCGATGCTCCAGCGCCTGCACACTGCGCCAACTGTGCGCCAAACGTGGGGTGTTTATCAGGAAAGAAAAGGCGACATGGACTACATTACATAGACCGGATCATGCGTAACTTACTCATTGGTGACTCGACTCGTCTGCCCGGCCTGAGCCAGACGGGCGCATGGAAGTTCGAGATCAAAAGCACCGATATTGGGAGCCCCGACACAAGCATGCACGCCTGGCGACCATGCCTCGAGAGACGGGATCTCTATCTCGCCCACGTGCTCCGCGTGGAATGCAGCCAGTGTCCTGCATTCCTCAGCCTCCCGAGCACGTCGGGCCAACTGCGTCTGCTTGATGCGGGTTTTCGCATTCGCGATGACAGCTTCCACAGAGTCAGACAGTTCTACAGCCAGCGCCGACTCATCAGCAACTCGTGGGGGCAAAGTCGCTGTGTCCTGCTGAGTGGGCTCGGGTGCTGCTGGGACTGGCAGCGACCCAGCAAGGTCTCTGCTCAGTCGCTCTGCCCGAGCTATCTCCCGATATGGCTCCTTGGCGTCATCGCTCATGCCCCTCCACTCTGCTGCATATTGCCTGCAGCGTTCTCGGTTCATCGCCTGGCCTTTCTTCTCCGCAGCAATCCAAATCCTGTACGGCCCACGGAGACTTGCTTTTCTCTCCCGACCGTCTTTTCGAGCTTTCCGTTTCCGCTTTCCCCTCCGCCTTCGAGGTGGCTCGGGCAACACCGGATCCGCGCCTCTGCGGATGCCTGCAACAGCTGGCAAGGGACAGGGGTCTAGGGTAACAGGAAGTCCAAGGATGAACCGATCTAATGTCTAAAGTCTAAAGCCCAGCCAAAGCACGGCATCTCTCTCCATGCGTGGCCAATTGCCGGATGGTAAGATCTGCGGAGAGGTCTTGAAAAGCCATTGGATGCGTCTGACAACTCCTGGCCATCAGAACTCGCCGGATGCTCGCGTGCTGCGACTCGATCTGTGAGATGTCCAGGTCTAGCAAAAGCGCTAGAGAAGTGAGCAAGTCCTGGGCCAACTCAGACTGGCTTGAAGGAGCATCGGGAAAGCTTCGCACCCATGCCGCTGCCAAGGCATCGCGCTGGCATGGCTTCAAGTCATAGAAAAACCTGGCAGATTCTTCGCCGTACATGCACGCAAACAGAGCGTAAGGGCAACAGGCTCTGCAGGATACCAGCAATACCTGAAGAGCACATACTGCGCGGGAGGCCATCTTGAAAAGAAGTGTTCGCTTGCCTGACCGCATGTCTTGCAACGGCACAAAGTCGGCCGGCACCTGCAGCATCTGCATCAAAGCCTCAATGCACTGGTCCAGGTCGTGCCCCTCCCACGCCTCCAGAATCCTGTAGCTTCGTGGCTCGCCTCTGGCAGCCTTGCACTCCTGTTCCGCGTCCCACGCGTGCCCAGCAAGTCGCAGGAACTTGCGCATCAAACGGCACACGGGTCCAATGCCCTTCCTAGCCACGGCCAACCGCCCGGCTAAGGAGTCTGTCGCCGAGACACTCTGCACCCAAGCAGTTACTTTTGCTTTGAGCGACCTGTTCACCTGAGCCCAGTCCGGAGGTGTCACACCCGGGGCATCTGAGGGAAGTGGGGCGTCTGGCTGCGCTGGGTCGTCTGCCTCAGGATCAAGAGGGTTCTCTGTGCCCAAGGCAGCTGGTGGCAGCTGCGGCAACAAGAACTCCTCCAACGTTTGCCCATGCTGCTGCCCGCCGTTCTGCGCGGAGCCTTGTGGAAGGCGCAGCCAAAGCCTCAGACCAGCCTCCAGCAAACCGTGGTGGCTGGCGAGGACGCCGTAGAAGTCTACAGTGAAATCACAATTCGTCCAGCGGTGCCGCGGGAAGATAGGTGCTGGTCCAGGCAAGAGCATTCGCATAGCAAACTTTCTGATCTGTTCGAGCACATCCTCACGAGTCAGCTGCAGATTCATTGTCCAGTGTTGGATTTTGTTGGACTGCAGATCCCCATTGAAAAAGTGCTTCAATATGGCTCTTTGCAACAATCTGCGCTTTCGGAAATCTTCTGAATCATTCTGTGGCAAGCCAAGATACAAATCATGCACCTTCTGCTGGTACTCACGCACAAACCCAGTTGGGGCAGGGCCGTAGCAAATCTCTAGTGACTCTTCGATGGCCTGCATGATGCAAGAACGAAAGCGGACTGTTTCACCAGAATCACCCAGCAAAACTGCCGCTGCCACCATGCCTGTGATCTCATTGTCGACTAGATCATGCTGGGCTGTCTGTGCCTGGCTGACTTTGTGAACGTCACAAGGAAGGTGGACCTTTGCTGGCTTGGGCCACCCGGGATCACAATCTAGGTTCCGCTCGGCCGCCAGATTGGCACCGTATCTGTCCGTTGTGACTAAAATATAATGATGCTTCGCTTGCGCAGCAAGCCGCTGCAACCCAGGAAAAGAGCACGCATCTAGCAGAAGTGCCCGGATATTTTCTGCTGTTGTGGCATCCAAAGCCCTCAGCGGCGATGGAACGCGGAATCGCAGGAAAATGCGAGAGCCACGCTCCACGTCTTCCAGGAGAAGTCCCAGAGTCACTTCTGTCTGCATGATTTTCGCTCTCTTGCTGTCGAGCTTCACAGGGAGGGGTGTTTCATCGTATCTGCGCTTCTCGAAAACTGCAATGATCTTCATTGCTTCGGCCGACAGGATTTCCTCGAACATACACTCCATGAGATACTTGCTTCCTTCCGACACGATGCAGGCCAGACGGCGAACCCTGTATGAAATCTGCTGCTGGCTTGTCTCGCACTTCTCACTGAGAGATGAAAAGCTTGCAACCGTGCGTGCTGGTGCGAACAGCATGCGGTCGACACTCTCGCAATTTTCCCTCTCTCGGCGCTCAAGCAGTGGGCGAGCCCAGTTCATGGCCGCGGAGCTTTGTGTCGCCAACTCCTGTTGGAGAGACGACCCCACTGCTGGCACCAGCCGCTGTTCCGGTCGGGCATGTAGCGAGACCGCTTCATGCTCACTCTGTCGTGACGGCTCTTGCTCTGGCTCTGAAGGCGCTGGCTCTGGATTGCGTGGCACACGCAAGTTCCTTTCATCCACGACACGCCAGAAAAGCTTGCTGCCAGTCGGACGGCCCCTGGTAGATCGCATCCTGTGGCTGGGTTCAGCAGCTCCGGCCACATTGCCAGCTACGGCAGCTACGGCGTTGTCCAGAAGCCCTTGCCAATTCTCTCCGAGGTCAACATCTGCACCGTCAGGCACTGATGCAGTCTCCACCCCGCTGTGTCTGGGAGGCTGGTCCATCGGCTCTTCTCCGCTGTGTCCAAGAGGCTGGTCGATCGGCTCTTCCCTGTGACTCTCTGGCCGCGAAAGCGCGCGCTGCAAAAGACGAGCCCAGTCATCGCCCTCGCCCAAGAGTTCGCTTGCAGAGGCGGGCAGCTCTTCTTCCGCTTCTGGCATGACGCCCTACAAGCCTATATGTCGACCAGCATCCATTGAGACCGGCGCTGACCGTAAATTTCTCGAATGTCACAATGTGACGTATCATAATCAATCGTACTGTCCTATGTGCCGATATTCCGATATGCAATGGCCATGTCAAAATAACTGCCACAACTTGGATACAACTTGCTTGCCAACAAAAGACACGCAGAGACTGGAGCCGGTCCTATGCAAGCTGGACATTTTCATGTCACGTGCCAGCAGCACCGCAAACAGTTAACAGTTAACTGAGTCGACAGAACCGATCACACACCACATTCACATCCATGCCATACCCGCATTCATGTCGCACCCACATGCGCACCCACACCCGCGCCCGCACCCGCACATGCAAACCCACCCACGACCCTAATAAAGGCCCTAATACAGACTTTCCGCTCCTGTGACACCAAGCCACCACCCACCCACCCACCCACCCACCCACCCACCCCGACAGACGAGCACGCACACGCGCACACACACAAACACACACACACACACACGCACACACACACGCACGCCACCCACACATCCACCAACACTTCGATTCTTTAGTACTTTAGTGCTGAACTCCGCCTCCAATGCCACGCACCCGCCCATCCCGTCCACAGCCACCCACCCACCCATCCAGCAGCACTTTTTCCGTGCTGACCTCTGCCCCGATTTCGAGGCTCAAGATCCGCACTCCAACATACCCCAGATACTCAAGTAAACCCTATGTCGTATAGTTCCCACTCACGCTCACAAAAACACTCGCACCCACATCCACACCCCCACACCCCCACTCACACCCACACCTACACAATCACTCACACAAATGAGGCTGCGCAAGGAAGCTAGCCGCCAAATACTGGCATGCCCTTGCATGCAAGCATGTCTGCAGTGTACACTTTAATCATTACTTTATTCCGCTGGGCGCACCTCTCTCTGTTCTGCTTGGTCCAGATCTTGTTGTCCAACGGGCACTCCACCACACGATAGCCGGGCAGGCCAACAAACTTGGCCGCCAATTCTGTCATGAACCTGGCCAAGGCCAAGAAGAGACTGTTCAGTTTTTTGTTAGAGCACGAACGAATCTGGCCTAGTATGTCTTGCACGTGTGCATGCTCAGCCACTCATGCGTATAGAGCTGCTCTTGACTCAGGAATCTGTAATTTACACTCTAGACTCTAGACTCTGGACGTGGATCCTTTAACACAAGCAGCACGAGGGGCCTTTGCTTGGGAGTCTCGCCGCTGGGCTCTCCCGACAAGCCAAATCCACCCACCTGCTCCATGATTGCAGCCTTAGGCTGTATTGCATGTAGAAGATCGAGGGCCTCAGAGAAAGTCACCTGGAAATCCGAGTGATCTGCTGGGGAGGCTTCCTTAAAGCGCCCAGCCCTCTGCTTGCTGAAAGGAGGGCATGGGGTGCCGAAACACAAAAGATCCACATCGCCCGGAGCTTCCGGAAGCGGGCAACGATTGCAGTGTGGATGCAGCAAACAACCTGTGTGCTGGGCTTGCTGCGCCATCGTAGTGTAGAAGTGATCAATGACATCGCCATGGTTCAATAAAGCAAACTTCTGGTAGCTGTCACACGGGTCAGAGCACGACAAGCAGTTGAAGTTGATGCCCAGGTTCTGTTGAGGGATACAGACAAGCAGCTAAGCACGCAGTCTGCCTACAGTGACTAGAATTGACTAGAATCTGACTAGAAGTGACTAGAACTCGAAGTGACTAGTGACTAGAATGACTACAGAAACGATACCTGCGGCCTGCGAGCTGAGATAATTACACCCAGCAACTGACTCGACACTCTTGCAGCTACCACTTTTCAATCATCACCCCAAACCCGAAGATACGAAACCTCGCGCACAAGGGTTGGATGGGCCCGTGCACCTTCAGGACGGTGGCTTCTGCAAAGCTGCATGTGCAACCAGAAACCAGCTTCACAGGCTCGGAGAATTGCTTCAACATGACCCCACCAGCCAAACCGTCAGCATGACTCACTAGCTGCTTTGCCCACCATGGGGCATCGTTTGGCAATGCATGGCGATCCCCTGGTGCTCCACTGCAACTCGAACATGCTTCAGCATCTTGCGTCGTCGAGAGAGCTGCGTCCGATTCTCGTCGCATGGCATCTACGTACGACGCCTGCTCTGCCGTCTTGTTAGCTAGCTGCAACAAGTGCTCGGTCAAGGCAGACCAGCTCATACTGCAGCACCCTGAGCTGCCTTCTTGAGAGGCTGCAAGCGGATGAAGATTGTGTCAGCCAACTCTTTACATCTGGAGGGTCACTATTGATATTGCTCTACGTAATTACACATCGCCTTTCTGTTACGTACATCATCGCCTTTTTTTACGTACATCATCGCCTTT